ATAATTAGAGGGCTTGAACCGGAGCCCAATCTCACTGCGCAGAAGGTTCGCGTCCAACCACCGCTCCTTGTTCCTGGAAGCGGTTGAAACAGACCAACACGACGCGCAATGCAACAAGCTGTCATCGCCGCATCGGATATTGCTTTGTCGCCAGGCGTCAGTCGTATTTTTACTTCGCCATGGCTTTTGGGGACTGCAAGGACCTCGGAAAATGCGCGCGCCGCTCGACCTGTGCGTGGAACCATCCCAACGTGGCCAAATGCACTGACGACGACGCGTGTCGCCGACGCGTGTGCGCACTAAACCACTCGAAAATCCGCTGCGTGAGCGTCGCAAAAGGCCAAGCGTGCTCAAAAGGTCGCACGTGCACGTACTTCCACCACGAGGCAAGCGTTGCGCCAATGAGCAGCAAGCGCGTCTTCATTTGGACATCACTACTTGTCGCCTACACCTTGATCATTTACAACGGTGCCATTCGATTGCACTCTTGTGGCGCCCTCATGACACGACATCCATAGGCCATCTGTACATCTTGATGGTCGCACTTGTGCTCCAGGTAACTTTGAACGTACTACTGGACGTGTAGGTGCCAGCCGCGCACTTGCTTTCGTAGGCACTTGTCTCATACGAGCTCGGGTTGTTCGCGCTGTAGGGCTAGGGCCGCAGCCAGCTAGCTCAAACTGTCAACTTACCAGCAATCCCGAAGAAAAAGTGTGTATTTTCTGGCCAACTGACAAGTTTTTAGTGATCGCCAGAGGTTCAACAAGCTGGTTCGCGGCATCCCTGGTAATGCATTGGTGGGGTTCAAGCTCTAGTTCTACAAAACATGTATGCTTCGTCATACCTCATGTACTGGTACATCCTTCGATCTCGTTTTCAAATCCTAAAGCCATCCAGAAGTTGCTCCGATGGGCGCATTGGAGAGGACTCGCGCGTGCTAGCGTGGTCTATCGCTGGGTGTTGCGACGCGACGACGTCAAATTCAGAAGCTCCGACGTAGTTGGCACCTCCACGCCTTCTGAGGTGTTGCCTGTTTTTCTGTGTATCCTCTTGTCGTGCAAGGCTGCTAGGAGCTGAGACTGTGTCTTTCTTGTGTGGCGCCATTGGGGGCACTTGGCCGGCGGGCATGCGCGGCGATGATGTCGAGAACGATATAGGTATCGACACTGGGTGGAACCGCTGTCTTGCCTGCCATATCTGTCTGGAGTCGAGAAATGGCATCCTCTCTGCTTAAGGCGTATGACACTTGGTGCGACCTCGCTTTCAAAACTAAAAGGTGTCGAGGGCAATGCACTGACGCTCAAAGTCCCTCCAGAGGTTGCTTGTCATGCTGGTAGTCGCCGACGCCACAAATATGGAAGGTCCCAGGGGCAAATCTTGGAGACAACGGCGACAACGGACATTTGGAGGGTTTGAACGGACGTCTCCTTTTACGGGCACTACTTGGTGTGATGCTAAAATTTCAACAGTTGCGGTTGGGTCGTTGGATTCGACAGCGGTTGAAACGAGTGCAGCGTGATCCTTGGACCACGTTCCTTGACCATAGAGACACTTGCTTGCGATGGCGACCTTGGTGACAACGGTACGTCCCCACGGTAGACCGGTGACCGCTCTATGGCGATCATAGCTTCTCCAACACGCAGAGGAGGGTAACCTCAACGAGGTGAGTCGACTGCTCGCTGACGGGGCCGACGCCAACTCTACGAACGAGGTGATTCAACGTCGCCCAACAACCCCGGTTCGATCTCATTGCCCATAGTCGGGGTTCACATCGCTCTTTCTCGCATCGAAAAATGGGCATCGGGCCGTGGTGTCGCTGCTTCTCAAGTACGGCGCCAACGTTGACAAGCCGGATTCGGTACGGTTTTTCAAAGGGAAGGAGCGCGCCGCGAATGCTTCGTAGGCGGGGTGGACGCCGCTCATTGTGGCCGCTGTGGGGAAACGCAACGACGTCGCTCAAGTTCTTTTGGAGGCGAGGGCCAACGTCAACAACTGCACCACAAAGGTAATCCACGGTACACATATTGACTCGGCCACCAACTTGTGCTCACTTTAGCACGGCATGACGGCCCTGTACATCGCCGCCTCGAGTAACAATACCGAGCTCGTGGAGCTACTGCTGCAGCACCACGCTGCCATTGACACGCCGACGCAGGTGCACGCGCTCGTTGTGGATTTTCACTGACACACGGCGGTTAGGAAGGCAAAACACCGCTTTCCGTGGCCTTGGAAAAGGGCCACGACGCCATTGTCAGCCTGCTTCACGCGAGTGTTCCATGCGTTCGCAAGCGGGTGGTGGAAGGCGTACTAACAAAGTCGTAGGCTGTACTTGCGCCATCGGCTCCCGATATACCGGTACACATATCATTCATCAAACCTTTCTCTTCAAACAAAACGCAGGCTCCTCACGATGAGCTGTTGGTGGCCATCGAAGCCAACGCGATTCCAACCATTGTTCATCTCATCAAGACCAAGTCGAATGTCAATCAAGCTGGCTCGGTACACTGCATGTCTACGGAGATGATTTGATGGTTTCCATACAGGCCGGGACGACGCCACTATGTTTGGCCGCCCATATCAGCCGCGAGGCAATCGTGGGCATGCTTCTGATCGCGAACGCAAATCCCAACCAATCCAATGGCGTATAAGGAGTCTCCCGTTCTTATCCCAGCGCTTATTTCTTATTTCTAGTGCGGTCAGACGCCTCTAAGCATCGCGGCCACGACGGGCGACGCCGCTATTGTCGAAATGCTGCTTCAAGACGGCGCAGACGTCAACGCGACCGACAAGGTGCATTTTCGGATCTTTTATGATGGTAAAAAGACTTTTTTTACAGGTATTTGAACTCGCCTCTATTGCTCGCCGTGCAGCACGGACACGAGCAAGTCATGCACCGCTCTTTGCGGCCAACGCCGACGCGACCAAGCGCAACACGGTGCGTGGATA